CCCCAGGCTGTACATTCCGGGAGGATTATACCAAGCCTTGGTGGTAACACAAGGAAAGAGKCTGGGAAGGCTTCGGCCATCTGAGAACTACTGTAATGACTCAGAAGTGCCAAGGTTTGGAGTCTCTCTCATTGCTCCTAGGAAATTTAATTGAAGCAGGGCAAGCAGTAAGACTTGCTCATTTACTGGGCATTATGAACAGAACTGGCCGTTAATGACAGCACCGAGGGTGAAACCTTTCTGTTTGAGACTGGCATTTTAATCTAACCTAAGCTTAGGGGGATAAAAATCTGCGATGCTTCCACATCATTTATTTCATAACCTTGCTACAAGCAAGAGTATTAAGGCAACTGAAAAAAAATACTTTTACAGGTAATACCTTAATCACTTGTTATCCTATGGTCAAACCTTATTTATAGAACAACAGCAAACGCTTGTTTTGTTGGAATCACTGCGAAGTGATTACATCTCCAACAAGGCAGCAATTATAAAGACATTTCCTGCTACAGCAGCAAATAATAATCTGCCTGGCTCTCGTTCTCACAGGCAGCTTTGCACCCTTCCCTAGGAGATACAGAAGGAACTCGAGTTCAGAAAAGGCTCCTCACACCTCATGGAGAGACGCAGAGAAAGTCCAAAGAGCTGTGTGGGATGAGAGACAGGAAAAGTCTTTCTGCTCTACATCATCCCCAGAAAACTGCCATTTCCAATATAATTTAATTATTCTGTCCACATTCCRTTGAATTACATTAAACTAGGCCAATCACTGTATTCAGAAGCAAATTCTAGGCTGTATTCAAATATATATATAATATATATATATATGGAACATYGCTTTACAAGTTTTTGATATAAAATATGCAGCATTTCCCCTGTCTCAAAAAAAAAAAAAAAAAAAGGGAAATCTATCATACTATCATATAAAARGGGTTGGAAGGAAACTCTAAATGATGAACTTCTGTTTCTTAAATTACTGTTTTTCTCTGGTAAGAGCAATAGCAGAGAGATCTCTAGAGTACCGCCTTAAAATAGCTCACGAAGCAGCAGGAAGTTAACAGATAATCTACAGGAGATGGAACCAGGTCCTCAGCAAGCACAAAAGGGCATTTGCACCACAGCAGCGAGTCATTCCAGTTTTAATCCGCTCTGTTTCTGGCCCAGTTTACACCCTGGGCCAGTTCTTAGGTTCTTGCTCAAATGCCAGGTTCCCAGGATCGGCCTGTTCTAATGAGGGCAAGATCTGAGGGAGAAGCAACAGCACCAGGGCTGAAGGAAAGGAAAAGCGAAGTTGTGTACAACAGGAAAGAAAATCAAGAGCTCCAAGTGGARTAATAATAATTATTAATAATGACGATGATGATGTGGGCTGGTGAGGAGCAAGGCAAGCGCAGCCGTCAGCGAYAGCAGGGAAGAAAACAGACCTCTCTGTTACAGGGTCTCAAAAGTGGTACCCTAGGCTGTGTGCTCAATCCAACACGAGGCAGAAAGAAATGGAAAGCGAGCCTGGATGATGTAAGGAGCAGTGACATTAAATTATTCAAGCAAGCAAGCAGATACTCTGCTTGAGTTTCCCCTCTGAGGAAGTGGCACAGGAATTCAGGGCACAAGCGAGCGGCGAGCCGCGCTCGTCCTCTCATCTGGTGAGTCTGCTCTAGGGAACATGTTCTCCCGGCCAGATTGAGGTTTCTGTAACACATGAAAGAGCAACAGATCTTTACATCAAGCTTCCCAGGCTACCTTGGAAAGAACTTAGAAAGGAAACTTGGAAAGAAATTAGAAGTACCTCTGTATTGCTGCTGAGTATGCCAGGAGCTCATAGCTCTGCCCGAGTGGCCGGGGCTGACTCGAGTCCACCGACAGTGACACCAAGTTTTGCTCTTGTGCAGGAACTGCAAAGGTTTGGGCTGGCTAATAGAGTTTCATCAGAACATCAGAGAGCCAAGGCTGACGGAAAACTCGAACTGACACAACAGACCAAAGCTGCGTGTGTTAACTGCAACTCCAGCTATTTCTGAAGAAACAAAAGGGATGAGGTCCTTTTTGTTCCCAACACAATCCTTAAAGATTTATTTGTACTTTTACACCAATGACCTCTCTTTCAGACCCATGGCAGATATGGAGGGAACCTCCCTGCTTGCAAATCTTTAGTCTATTTAAAGAAAGAAAAGATGATGCTAAAAAAAACCACCTTTGCCAGCCCCAAACAAAACATGCAGCACTATCAAAGCTCCAGCCGTGGTCGGCTCACGCCGCTTTGTTTCTCTCAGTGCAGGACATGAAAGCATCTTCGGCTGTGTGTTTTGATAACAGAAATGAGTACCTTGTCATGTTTTAAATCAGCAGCTTAGAGGCTTCTTAAGCGAACCTGACAGCATTTGAAAGGTCCCATGCTGCCASGCTTAAGAGACGCCAATCACAATTAATAGCAACAAATTCACTGTTCCAAAACAAATAAAACCTGCACATTTTTCTGCTGAATGAAGAGCCGATGAGTGGAAACAGAAGCAAAATTACCACAATAGCCAGTTAGCCTGTCAATGGAAATTACTTTCATTTGTCTGTGTTCACCAGGGTTGGTAAACAAGAAAGCTTCAGCTAATACAGTTTTTGCTACGCTCAAATTGAATGTGAAATATAGTATGACATACCAAATGAATCTCTTAACTTTTGCACTGGATTTCTGAGGTGTTCTGAGGCTTTATCTTTAAATTGGTCTGTAAGCCTCACATTTTTTGCTATCAATCCTGTTAAACACGCATAACGTTTTCCTTCTGGCAAAACAAGGACTGTTCTTCTGGCTCATCATCTGAAGGAGACACCTCTCTATAGCATCCCCTCATTTCACAGAAATCACAAAGTGAACRTTTTAAATTATCCTCACAAATTCCACGGAGTTGCACTGAAAATCCACTTGGTGGGGTGGTAACCGCRTCTCTTCCTCTGTAAATAAACACCTCTTACCTTCCAAATTTGTGAACTTTTCCTTGGTTCTGCAACAGTTTTGGTGTTTCCAGACTGCCATGTCCCACCAGCAGATGTTACTAATCCTGAACTGCATCTCGTGGCCCTCTTCCAATCACTGCAGGGAGCAGTTGCCAATCTCCCAGAGCTAACTCCTCTTCTTTGCTTCCCCCCCCCCCTTTTTTTTTTCTCTCCAGTAAATTCTGCCTTTCAGCCATCCAGTTCCATGTGTTTTCACCTCCTTCATAGGGATTTTTTCCTGGATTGCACAGTTTACACCCAGGGCCTCCCCCCTAAGCCTTACTTGGGGCACTCTCATTGACTGWCTGGTCAGAAAAATCCCTTTCTTCCCTTGCTAACTGACCTCCAGCTGAAGGTCTCCACTGCAGGATACCATGAGAACTGGGAAAAAGCAGGGTGCTGAGCAATACGGGCTTATTTAGAGCCACAGAAAGCAAACAATTCAGAGAACTCATGAGACTTAAGTGACTGATTAATCTAGCTTTGCCCCTTTTAAACCTTTGCTAAGCRGTCTCCCGAAGAGCATTTAGGGACTAATGATGCTGTAAATACAGCAGGGATGCTAAGGCTAATACCAAGCAATAACCTACATAAAACCACCTGTCATTCAAGCAGTAAAGAAACTAATTCACAAGTTTTAATCCAACAGGCAGACAGATGTAACAAGTCTAGCTTTGTAATGGACCAACTGCTCTTGCACAGTTGGATTCCCTCAACTGTTACATTGGGAATATTTTAGGCAGAAAGAAAACTTTAAAACCCACTCACATACATTCAAAAAAAAAAACCCTCTTACAGCTCTCAGCTGGCTCTGAAGTCTTTGAATGCTTAAAAAAGAAAAAAAAAAAGAAGAAATCTCTGTTCAGCTTTCCTGAACTAACCATCCTGCTCAGTGGAAAAAAATAATTGCAAAATTAAGGTCTCTTTGTATAAAAATATAGCCCACCTCTTGTGGAGTTTGTCCCCTTGAGGCTTTTATTCTTTTTTTGGGTGGTGCTGTTAATTTAGGGTTTTTCCCCTCTTTCTATAGGTTTAACACTCCACCTTCATGAGTACCTTCAGGTTTTATGGATGTCATTTGATGCTTCCAACAGGAACTAATGCAATTTCTAAATTTGAAATCTAGCACTACATAAATACCATACTTTTATCTACAAGAATTCTGAATCTGAATATATCTGAATTCATGTTAAGATCCAAAAACTATGTTGGGCTTTTCAGGCTTCAGTGGCCGTGGCTTTTTGTAGAGCAGATGCTCCATTAAATTACAGGCATGCGTCTCTGCAGTGCCAGCACCGACTGCTGAACGATTAYATGCACAAACACCAGAAGGTATTTGTTTTACTTTTTTTGTCATTTGTCTTTAGCTAAATCTTCTTCCTTCTCCTATGAAACTGCGTTTTGCATTACCACCATCAGAATATCCAGAGACACAAACCAAGGTCAGTCGTCTGGTACCTTTAGRATACATAGTTAAACCCCTGCCAGAAGTGTTAGATTGCAAAGGACTTGGTAATTTAACAGAACTTGGGCCAAACCAGATGCTAGAGGGGATGGAGAAGGCACACAGGTGCTTGAGCACGGAGAAGTTTTTCTGAGTTTAAAAATCCCATAGGAAAATGGAGATGAATCACAAGCAGGAAGAATGAATGCCAGACATAGTAAAAGTAAGACCATACGGCACCAATGACTGGTGATTTTTGAGCTAATTTTAGCTCAAAAGCCAAATGGCAATATTTTCTGTCTGACTCCGAATGTAGCACTCACATCAGCTATGAATAGTTTCTCAGCAGATGATCAGAAATACCCTTTTCCAATGCAAGAAAACATCTTTCTATAAATAGATAGTTACAAAGTAAAGCAAGGCTAGCATGCAGCGCTCCCAGACTTCTCATGGTGCCCACATGAGACCACGGGATGCCGGAGACCTGAAATCCACGGGATGCTGGAGACCTGGGGAAGGTGTCTGCGACCACAGGAATGACGTACAAGAGACAGAGACCCCCTTGGCTTCTTACCTTGTTGCACAAAGGATCCGTACACGAACCACATGGAGTTGTAGAGCGTGGTGGAGGTCATGGATCCCATCTGGAGGCGCGGCGGGTTGAGCCAGTTCAAGAGGTAGACCAGGAGCCCGACGAGCAGCACCGTGCCCGCTATGCAGGCCCACAGGGAGAGGTCGAACGGCGCCAAGCAGGCAAACATGTCCACTGTCTTCTCGGCCTTCCGAAGCAGCACTCCCACTGAATAGTCCATGTAGCGGGTGGTGAAGTCCACCACATTCTCCCGATCGGGGGTGATGGTTAAGGCAGAGATCCCTATGTCAGCTCTCTGAGGAAAAAGAGCCAACAACGCATGTAAACATGGGCTATGTGGAAGTGCTTTGCTCCACTTTGATTCATCTTCACTAAACTTATCACAGAGAAGAAGATGCCACGGCCAATGTCTTATGTGTGAGGGAGACATGAGCTCAGCAACATGACTAAGGACTGAGCAGAAGAGCTGCAGAGTCTCTCTCATGTTTTCACAGCCGAACATGGCTTGGCTGGACTCAGGCACATTAGCTCTCCAAGTTACTATTTTCCAACAAATCATGAGGAATTATTTTAGATAGATATAACAGCTGGAAGAAACCTCCTTATGGTCATTTTCCTTACTGAAGCCCTGCTTAGCCTGGTCTTTTTTGTAGCAAAAAAGCAGACCTTGTGTACAGCATTTCTGCTCCRAGGAAATGAGTTTCCTGAGAGCACCACATGATATTCAACACGTGGCTGACATGAGGATCCTCACAAGGGCCACTGCAAGAGAAAAGGCATTTCGATGATCCTGGGGGTTTCGGGAAGCTTGAAATCCTGAATAAGGTCACGGGCTACAGAGTATTAAGTGCAGAAGAGCAAATTTTCTGTATAGTTCTGTCACTATTAGATTCTTCTGCATCYTCCTGCTACACACAATCCTTTTCTATGACCACCTCTCCTGCAGGTATCTTGGACTCGCTTTGTTCCCTTTGCATTTGCTTGTAATTTGAAAAACCCATTTAAGATGAGAAGGAGAACAACAACTCTCCTCAATCTAATCATTATACCTCACAACATGTCCGGGTATTAGGTCTGAAGAGACACCAGTTGCAACTACAGCAGGTGCTGTCTTACTTTTCACACTTACAAATAGAACTGCAGTGAAAATGAGAAAGGGCACTTAAAGCAGATGCATTAACACTGTCAAAAAAARCCAATATCCTCAATAAAAAGACTCAATTCTAAATACTTGGATGTGAAAAAGAGTGCTCTAAAACAGTAAAAGCCACTACTAGTTCAATATATTCCCATTTTTGTTCAGACTAAAGCAGTATGTAGTCCTCTGGAGGGAGTGAGGAGAGCCAACATCAATGCTTGAACTCTGAGTATTATGCCAATTTTGTCAACCCACTTTTTTTTTTTTTTCCTCCCCTCCAAAGAACATACGGATTACCATCTCCTTATAAATGTGACGTGATATGGCAGCTGAAACTCTGATTAGATTCAAATTTACAAATTATCTGGATGTTTTCAATGCTAACAAATAGATCAAATAGAGCCCCTAGTACAGACATACTTCTAATCACAAAATCCCAACACACTTGCAATTTGGTTTACATGACGTGACTTGAACTTTCTTTATGTTAATAGCTCACTGGCTTGAGAAAATGGTCAAAGACAGAGGCTGTAAAAACGTCATCCAAGTTATCAAGGGGAAGTACTTGGAAAACCTTCAAATCTCTTTCCTCTGATTAGAAAACTTCCAGACAACAAATGACTCGAGTGACTCACCGTATCTTGTAAGCACTGAGACACACATGCAGTGAAGAGGTTGTAAATGAGTCATCTAAAATGTTTTCCATAAACTGGGCATATCAACTAAYCTTTTTAATAATTTACAAATGCAAAAGTCCGTTTACAAACATAAAAATCCTATGTTGYATAGTAATACTTGTCAAATGGGAAAAATAAGTTTAATGGACACAGTACTTTTCTGAATGTGTATTTGGTGTATATCTAAAAGTTAAATGGAAACTCAAGGTTAAATGAAGACACACGTAATCACAGACTTGGCTAAGTTGTAGACTTGGCCCTTGCTATTCGACTTGAACAAAGCTATTAACTACCAACAGACCTTACTAAAGTGTTTCCCTACCTCACTGCTTTATTATGAGGTGCTACTCAAGTTATATTGGTAAGATGCTTGAAGATTCTTCATCCAACACTTGACATAGCAAGGATATATTTACCAAATACTGGATTACTGTAAGACTGATTGACTATCAGMAATTTTCTGAGAAACATATCTTTCCAAGTACAAGGGCACCGCATCAAACAGCAGTGTTATTTATGGAAATACTGCTTTTATTTTATTCCCCTGGGGAAAGAGTTCCTCCACGGCACAAATCCACCCTAGTTATCCAGCTGTGACAGAGGGACAAGATTGCCCTAATGGAAGCCTTCTTTTTTCCTTGACCACATTACAGCAGCAATTGAGAGAAAACTGTGTCCTGCAGTAAGACAGTAATACCCAGGCCAAAATCAGGAAGCTGAGAGCTAAGTCCTGATTACTCAGTACTTCTGTGTTTCGCTTTAAAGGACGGACAGATTACACTATTACTATGGACATCGTTACCTTAATAAATCAAATTGCACCTGCAAGATGAGCAGAGCACTATTTCACACAGAACCAGGTCCTGTATCACACGGATCAGCTCACACGCAAGCTCCACAGCACTGCACTGTAATTCCTTCATTTTTACCTACATTTTGTATGAGTGCAAAAAAAACTAATAGTGATTCTTCTTAAAATCAGTCCAACTTTTGGTGGCGCTGAGTATCTGCAGGTTTTATGGACCGTGTTGTGGACAGAGCGGGGTCAGAGCTGTGAACGGGAGCCACGGAAAGGCCTAAGCTTAATGGAATAGCTGATCCAGGGAAAGGGAGTGCTCTTAATTATGTACAGAGGCTGTCAACTTGTATCAAAGCTGGAAGATGGAAAAATTAAATGCCTGTCGTTAACATGTCAAACTGGATCAGAGAAGACATCATTTTGAACAAGTCAGGGATTGCTTAGTGCTTGAGACAGAATGGCAAATGCATACAGTTATGTCAATATTTAGACGTAAAGCTGCCAATCTCAATTATAAACATGTAAACTATCCACTTACTAAGCTTTCACAGTGCCAAAATCAACCAGCTACCAGCATCATCATAGATATTTAACAAATTTCTAAATCTGGAAGTGATCGGCTGAAAAGAAGTAGAGAGCACTGTTTTTCTTTACATGGCCAGTTTACAAGGTTGCTTAGCTAACAGCAGGTCTCCCATAATCACTGTACAACATTACCAGACTCTGAAAATAGGAGACAAATGATCCAAATGCCCAAAGGGCTCCAACAGCAATTTTACCCACGACATACAATCAGCTAAGCAGCAACACGTGGAAATACCCGCAATGCCAAAATGCCCCTGTACGATCAAGCAAACACATCCTATGATGTAAAGCAACCCTATGTGTCCTGTGGTCATCACTAAGAATTGCAGATCTTTCCTTTCTTCTCCTATACCTTGCTCCTAACAGCCCTTTCATTTTATCCATTTTCACAGTTAAGTCCAGTTTCACTGCATGCTGAAAGCAATAAGCCATAGTCCAAAATGCTACGTGGTTATTAATACAGAAGAGCAAAAACTAAGTTCACTCTTGTGCATCCAAATACCCCTTTCCTGTTACTTTGTCTTCTTTTTCCTCTCTGTATGCTTTCTTCCTCCTTTCCTCYGCTATTCACCTGAGGAAGACACGTCAAAAGTGCCTTTTAAGCACCTTCTACTYGGCAAATTCTCTTAGAAAGGTTTATGTGTGCACTTAGTTTTCTTCTTCTCAGTGACAACAGCAGAACCTGGCAGTTGTTTCTAAGTTATGTGCTTATCGCTGGCTTGGTAACCTGAAAAAATCATGCCCCCTGAGGCAGCGTGGTGACACATGGGGAGTGCCGCTGAGTTTTGGAAGAAACCAACGAGGATACTGAACAGGACTCTGGAACAGGGCAATCCTGTCYGATTCAGGAGGAACGGGAGATGGTGGTGGCCATCTCCTCTGTGGTGGCCACAGTGTCCTTCTCCACAAGAGGCACTCACAAGGTGGCGGTTACTTTCCATTACACCGGAGCCAGGACTTGTCTGTGCTCATAAAAAAATACGTTATTCCCAACTCACTCCTGGCTTGTGCGCTAACAGGAAATTCCCTCTCTTTCTCCATCTTTTCCACATGTTGGCCAGACAATCATGATTGGGGAAGTTAGGAAACACTGTGTTCCAAACAGGTTAGCCCTTGAGTCTGAAACTCTTCTCTGCTCCTTTGCCTCCCCTTATGAAATACCCAGCAAATGGGTATTTGGGCTCTGGGAGCAGAACTCGGGTTGCAGTAAATAAATAAGCAGCTTTTCAAGAAGAGCTTGCATTTGGTAAGGGGTAGATACACACTGGTTACTCACTTAGAGGATCTCCTTTGCCTTTAGAGAGTGAGAAAACAGGAGAGAAGGACATAATAAACCTCTACTGTTAATTACACAGGAGGTAAGGAGCACCATAAAAAAGATACGTGGCCATATTATCAGGGAAATATTTTTAAGYGCAAGATGCAGTTTTGTTAACTCTTCCTCATTACATGGAAAGATTTTGCACACATTAAAAATAATTTGCAGGAAAACTGGAGCAGACTAATAGATCTGCTCCACTCACTACATATACGTAAATATAGTGATTACTGCCTGAAGTTATAGGAGTCCCTGTCTAGTAAGGAGAGAACAATTACCTATGTGCTTCCAAGTGAACCATCTGATTTCACTAGGATTTCTGTCTTATGCATTAAATAACAGGTAAAAAATATTGTAGGTCCTTCCTCTCCTGTCTCCAGAGTCCTCCAGGATTAGGAGCCATGCAGCCTGTGCCAGGCAGCCTCCTGACTCAGTTGTTGAGAGCAGGGGAGAAAAATGATTCTAAGTTAGGAGAGATAGCCGCGCTGTTGATCTACAAATAAGACAAGGAGTTTTCAGTTGTCAAATTTTAGAAAATGCAAGAATATTTGCTTTTCTAGATGATTCTAGATTATCCTGTATGATCCACTCTACTTCCCRATTTTACAGCGGTGTAGGGACGTGGCAAAGGAAGTTTTTTCTTTCTGTGCATATAATACAAACCATGCTCTGTGAGCAGCATCAGTGGCTGCATTTCATTTCAACTCATTTTGTACTGTTCAGGGATGCAGAAGAGATTCAACTTATTGCTAATTTTATTTTTCATATCAAACACTGCTTCGTTTGCTTATAACCTGCAGCCTTGCGTACATCCATTTTCAATTTTAATGGCTCTTAAGTTCCTGTGCATTTTCTTGGTCATTATGTTTAACATTCAGCAAATGTTCTCTAAGTTAATTYTTTTTTTTTTCTAAATTTTATTTTTCTCTCATTACTGGAAGATACATGATCTGGCACTTAGTCACCTTTTAGCTCACATACTAAATCCTCTATTTGCATTATTCCTTATTCTTTACTTGTCAATTAAATCCACCTTCCATAAACAACCTGCACATTAATTACATGAATATCGTGTGCTGTTATTTGTGGAAAAACAACGTAGGGCTCTATAGCTGTACAAGTTGTACCTAGAGCTAAAGATACTTCCTCAGGTCAATGAAGAGCAAATAAAATGCACAGGTTCACACAATGAGAGACATTACCAGAATACCATCTGCCCTGCCCTTTTTTTCAGTGGCAATGGGAGAAATGGAAAACAGATGAGAAGATGTGAAGAGTGGAAAAAAATAAAAAGATATAGCACTTATATTTACTTTAATTATGGTACAATATTGAACATTTATATATAAAATTAAGTAGACTAAAATGGTCTATTAATTGAAGAATAGAGAATATACTACTCTTGATTCATGCATCTACATAATACAAGTGTTATTATAGATCAGTAAACCATTTTCTGTTGATTATATACTTCAAGTATTCATSACACCAATTTTTTTCTAAGCACTATGTATTATTTATGTAAAGCATCACTAATTACCACAACACCATTTTTTCCCCCTCTTTAGAACAGCCTCTTCCACTCATCTGTGTCAGGTCGTGCCAGATTAATTAGGATGCTGAGCGTTCCCTTATTTCACTAAATTCAGATTTCACACTGCTCGACTTTGGTTGGGAAAAACACGCAGCCCTCCTCCTTAAACAGTTACCAGAAGGCACCATTTCAGCTTCATCTTTATAGCTGAGTGCATCTGGGGGCACTATCAGATGCTGCCAGCCAAGTCACAGAACAAAATCCTGTGAATGAATCATTAAGTTAGCAGTTGATGCAGATATGTTTTACCACACACTGATTAGCTTCATGACATGGAGTTTTTAAGCTATTCATAACCTTACCTTAAATACTAGTTCTCCTATCAGTCCATTCCATGATCCGTCATCCTGAGGACTTCCATACTTGTGGTCCGGTGCAACGTATATTTCGTATTTGAAGCCAAGGTAATTGGCCAAAGCTTCCAACACATCTATCGAGAAGCCCTGGTATTTCTTGGGTTTCCCCAGAACGTTTTCAGACACCATGACAAAYGGCTCTTCCTAAACAGACAGGAAAGGAGGCGGCTGTGTTAGGAACACAACTATTCATCACCCTGAGCAAAATACGTGCTCCTTTTCCCCCCCCAAAGTAAAGAAAGAGCTACCTAAATGTGATTTATTCAACACTTTCCAACAACCCATTAACAGTCTATCTTGCATTTTGTTGCAAGTTATTTTGTTACACATTAATTTCAATAGAATCATCTCATACTTCCTATAAGAAATGTTATCCTCTACTATCCTCCTTTTTGTGAAATTATTTCTCTTGTTTATTTCCTTAAATCCCGTGTGTGGTGCTCTAAGTTAACAGCTTATAGGAGCAGTCTATTCAGAGATGCCAGAAGGGAATTTTGTTGGCTACTGCGGCCACATGAAACCACTTCCCGACCATTTCCTCCCAGCCTGGATAACCYGGCAGTGCATGCAGGAAAACAAAGTTGCTTTTCTGCAATATTTGATGTCCAAACTGCAATCATGGCTCCAGAGGTAATTTTAACTAGTGCTTTGGTTGTATTTCCTGTTACTCTATTACTCAGCTCTTTCAATGACTCTCAAGCCAATTGCTCTGTTCACAAATWGAAGCATATTTCTATTTTCTTAGTRTAATATCCTACATAAACTCCGAGGGAGGTACTCAGAACAYGAAAGCTTCTTTTTTAAATACACAAGTTAACATTCCTGAGGATGGTCACACAGTGAGGTCAAGGAAMCTACCATAAAAAATTCTTCTTCAAACCAAACTAAATGAAAAATAAAACCAAAACAGTCCTGTTAACTGTCCATCAAGATATCATTTCCCAGTTGTCATTTTTCTTTGCTTTTTATTTTTTTTTAAACTTCCATATTATCTAATATCAGCAAAAGGAATTAGAATGAGAGGACAGCAATGAACATTTTCAGTCATTTTCCAGTGAYTGGTTTCCAAAAACATCAAAGAAATGGAGACTTAGTTAGTGAAAACCTCTCTTACATGAAAACACCCTCTAAATTGATGTTTGCTGATCATTTGGATGAGACATTCCCATCTACAAACTCAAACCACTGGAATAAATAAGAGTTTCTTTAAAAAAAATAAAAAAAGTAATTCATCAATCTGAGCATATTGTGTTTTCAAAGATTTGTTTGTACAAAGCGTGATAATTTYCACATTAGAAAGGATTTATTCTCATCACTTCTGACTTATTAGAGAAGAGTTGCACAGGATCTGCATTTTTATTTAAAGGCAATTGTTAATGGCAGAGCTGATTTAAAGCACACAATTTTCCACAGCTAATTTCAGTCCTTTACTAACCTATATAATGTGCCTTCCTGTATAGAGATTTACCAAAAAACAGTGCCCAGTGTGCTATATGGCTAATAAAACATAAATGGTCAGATACACACAAAGCAGTTAACACTTCCCAGTTTGTTGAATGCATAATATTTAAACACACTCCCAACTAAAAGACAAACAAATACATCCCTGCATTTCTTGACCACTTTCTTCTCCATTTCTTGATTATTTTCTTTTAAAAAAGTAAGAAAAGAGGATTTATTTATTTTTACACATACCAGTGTGTAAATGGTAGAAACTGGATGAYGATAACCCGGAGCTTGGAGTGGTCTAGATTTAACTTTGGAGGTACAAGAAAGGTCAAATTTTACTTTTTACTGCTTTCTCCAGCCAAACAGCCAGGGCCTTCTCCTGTTCAGGACCAACATTTTGCCATAAATAAAAGGAAGAAATACAGGGTTTTCAAGTGCTCCAAGAATCTAGGATAGYTAGTTAGCCTGAGGAAGAAAAACACATTCCTAAACTGAGTGTCTCTATTTGGAATGAGATGAATTTTTTTTGTATCCAGAAGACAAATGACTTTGGAGCCCACTCTCTGATAGTTTTGTTTTGCAAGCTTTTCTGTGAGAATTAACACTAGGTTAATTAACACTAGGAGCTTCTGGTGTTTCTGGAAGATTTTCCTTTTCAGACCAATTACAGAAATCGCTCTGGAAAGAGCAGCAAGTCATTCTGTCTGGCCAAGTGTGTGCCAGGAAGACAAGGCTGTTGACGGCGACCAGGTGGTCCCAGCCCAGCCACTAATGGTCCAAGTTGCACCCCGCACCTTCCAGAGATCATTTGAAGGAACAGAACAGATTTTTTCTCAGTAATGAAAAGGGTGGATCTGTGGCTTTAAGCCAAGGCTTATTTCAGGAAAGAAGCTATACAGAGCCACAGGATACGCTGCCACGATACAGGATTTCACTCATTCATGAGACTGCTATGCTTGTTTTGCTGGGGAAAAAAAAGAAAGAAAGGTTAAAAGAGCCAGGACCTTTCACAGACGTGACGTTGCCTAAACAGAAAAGCCGAAGGAAAATAAAATGTTTAAGGATTATTCTCCAGCTTAGCTCAATCCCTTCTTGTCCCTGGCTGAGGAAAAACATCTTCCTAGCAAGGAGAGGATGCAGGAATTAGTAGGAGAACAGAAAGTTGCTGGTTTGTGAGCTTGGAGAGGCTGACGTCTGCCTCCTGGGATGGACGCCACACAGCGGGGCTCGTCCCTGCAGCTGCAGATGGAYGGACTTGGGCGCCGCTTCGGCGCCTGCCCGAGCGCTCCACAACTCGGTAATTAAACGGGTGATTAGAATGCAAAAACCATATGGAAACGGCCTCTGCAGGCACCCGTCAGGGGCTGCCGAGCCCACCARGAAGCAGCGTTTTAATGCTGGCTCCAGGAGTTCATTAGATGCTGCTCTGCCTGGGAACCTCAATCTTCCCTTCTCCTCTACCAGCAGCGGCAAGAGGGAGRAAAAGGCAGGCAGGAGAAGCGAAGCTCAATCCGTACTCCCCACCGGCTGCAACAACAGGGCACGGGCTCACGGAAAGGTTCACCTCGAGCAGCCGTGTGAAGGAAACATGCACTGTGACACCTGCAAAAYTTCCATCACCTGCCAGTGCTGAGAAACTGCTCCCTAGGGCAAAATTCACCCTCATGGTGGGACTTATGTCCACGTTTCCTACAGCTACAAGAGCCGCCGCTGGAGGCGGCAGGAGGCCCTGGGACAACTCCTCAAGCAGGGCCCAAACACCCTCCAGCACAGGACGCTCCCGCGCTTGCCACCAGGCACAACTGCCTTTCTCTCCACTTGCAAAAAACCACTAACCCCCTGCTTTTGAATGTAACCAATCTGAATGGCCTTCCCCCAAAGATTTCAGGGAAATAGTCTGTCCCAAATAATTCATTAATTTCCTCAAGTGCTTTATTGACCAGTGGCCTGAGGACTGTATATCTGGCGAGGAGCAGCCCAGCAGCTTGTTATTTTTAATTGAGCAGCAATGTATATTATGTCAGAATCAATGATCAAAATTTAATTGAAACATTTAACTTGCTCATTACTGTAGCTCTCCCACTACCAACAGTTATAAAAACTGCTTCAAAACCCAACACAATCCCCAGACGTTAGCGATACTAGAACAACGATGTAGGTTCCAAATCTGCAACAATTGGACAATTGTTGGACAACTAAAATACGACTCCTTTCCCATGCTGTAGTGCCCAAGGGTTGTGCCTGTGCACACAAAGCCGCTGGACTCTCTTGCCCAGGTGCAGAACTCCCTGTTTTTCAACAAGGATGAAGAGAAACCCATTGCTCCAGGCAGAAAATTCCCCTTCCGACAGCCGAGAGACTCCAGGCCCCGGGAGGTGAAGACACTATGGAGCAAAGAGGGTTTTACATTTGGCCCTGACTTGCTAGTACAGTTAGGTCTGCATTGGTCACCCTGTTTTTAATGACAGTTTTGTTCTCCACTGCAAGAGGACACATGCTTGTGCTTAAAGCTACATAGGTGAACAACATCWTCTATGTCCAGAAGCAGAAGGCCAAGCTGTTGCCTCTGGATTTATCCGGCTGGCCCAGAGCTGGGGAGAAGGGAGCAACCCAAAACCCAGCGCATCCCCTCTCGTCTCCTCTCACCTGCCACGAGACCAGGGCTGCTCTCGGAGCAGCCCCCACCACGGGTCCGTCAGGATGCAGCCAAGCTTTGTGTATTGATTTTAATTCGCAATGACTTAAGGTACCTAATAGCTCTTGCTCAGCCATTATAGCTATATGATAGGAACATGGATTGGGATCGGAATCGATCCGAGGCTTTGAGAGTTTGTCTCAAGAGCTCCGTGGCAGCTCTGGGGCAGGCAGCTCAGCCCCGGCCTTAGCTCAGTGCAGGTCTATAAGCCTGGGGGATCATCTTGGACTTCTCCTGAAGCGGYGCCGGAGCTCCCCTTGACAACCTACACACATGTGGTGCTGCCCTGACACGCAGGTCACCTCCTCATCCTCCTCCACCCCGTGCAGAACAGTCGTTACCATCAGCCCAAGAACCTCCTTCCGAGCAAAAGCTGCATTTCCCATGCKCTCTGCTCGCTGCCCTCAAGTGCAAACCCACCAGCAGCGTGAGGGGAAACTGGGTGGGTGATAACAGGAGGGCCAAGGCGGGCCTCAGACCCGGCCCARGACTTTCAGATGACGTAGACTAGTCCTATCAGGTTCTGCCTTAAAACTGCAGCCCCAGCCAGGTCCCCAAAGTTTTACGTTGCCTGAGACTCACTCGGCTCTTACACAGCACCTACTGCCTTAGGCTAATGAATCTAAAATACTAATTGGGCGCGCAAGGAGCTGGGATGCCCAGCAGGCCTGGCGATTAAAGCCTGTAGAACGAGCGGCTCTCGGTGGGCACGGGTGCTCTGAATAGCTGCGAGGTTCCCGACCTGCCTATTTTCATACAAGCAAGGTAGCTCGAAGCAACATCAAGCAGCTATTAAACCCAACCTGTGCCCTGCCAGCACTAATTTCAATTTGGCCCTTGTACAGGGGTGAGAAGAGAAAGCGGAATGGAGGAGAAGCTCTGCTTCTACCGAGAGATTATTTTTGTTGTGATTATTGTAATTATTAATATTTTGGGGAAATCTCACCAGAGTACAGTTCGGCTTGAGAAAAAGTTGTGCATCAATCAAACGGGAAACCAA